ACATCAATCCAGCTTATTAAAGTTAACCTAAAGTTGATGTATTGCTGTTAAGCTCCTGGTTCACAAACAGACCACTGATGCGGATGTAAATGATGGATATTCAACCATAGTAATCAATAAAAAACAGCTTTGATTACGGTGAAAGCTGCAAGACTTTCTACTAATTTTGCAATTCAAAAATTTCCCTGTCTCCCATTTATCAGAAATGAAGCTCAGTCTGATTAGATAAAGGCCATTTGTGAGCATCAACTTATAAATATTGGAAAAAAGCCGCATTTCAGATCTGGCATTTCATTAAACAGTTTTAATATGAATAGCTTAAACTTCAATCTAAACTAGGACTGCAACTAACGATTATTTTGCATATCGATTAAGCTGATAAAATTAATAATCGGATATAATAAAATATAACATTTCTTTTACAAAATAAACCAGGTGAAATTAAAACGTTTCTATTTGAGATGTCCTGAACAGAGCACATTAATAATAATAATAATTGAACTATTTTGATCTCACATTGGAGAAATTTATCTCTGCATTTAACCCATCCCTTTGGGGACCAGTGGGCTGCCATTGTGCGGCACCTGGGGGAGCAGTGTGGGTTTAAGGGTCTTGCTCATGGACCCAGGGTGCAGGCTGTGGGGACCGAACCGGGTGCTTCCAACCTTCTTAGAGCACAAGTGCACTGCTCTAACCACTAGGCCAACACTCCCCTTAGACAAAAAACATTTTCATCATATAAAATTCAAAATGTTTATAAATATATTTTACAATTTTGCTGTAACCACTGCTCTGAGTGGGTTGCTCTGTCAGCTAAAGGCATTTTTTATAGTCTCTATACTCTAGTTAACGAATAATCACTAATTAAATAAGTTGACAATTATTTAAATTATCGATTATCATGATTAATCCAATTCATTTTTTCAGCCCTAATCTAAACATAAGGTTTTCAATGTAGGGGTTGCAACCCCCTACAGGATTATCAAAGTATTGCAGGAGGTAAGGCTTTAAAGCTACAGTGTGTAATAATTACAGGGATATANAACAAGGTCATACAGTCAGATTGGTTCAAAGTTTTCTATCTAGGAAAACCATTTGATTGCATCGTCCCATTGACTCGAAGGCAATCCCTCACACTAAGATTGCATGAAGCAACAGTGGAGAGGAAAAACTCCCTTTTAACAGGAAGAAACCTCCAGCAAAACCAGGCTCAGTATTCAATGAGGGATTCAAGGAGACAGAAGTCACCATACAAAAAGAAGGAGAGATACAAAAGGCAATAGTCAACTGGCTCCACAGGGGGCCCCATCCAGGAAACACACAGCCAGGCAGACGAGTTCCGAGTCAGCTCCCGTGTCAGTGGATGAAAGAGAGCACGTCTAGCCAGTCACAATCAAAGAAACAGAACTACACTGAAAAACAGGCAAGCTCCAACATCTTTAAAGAAAAGAACCCAGGCTTGGTCATCCAAGCCTGGGTTACCAACTAAGCCAGTTTTATGAAATACCCCTCTGGTGAATGACTCTGAATGATAGCTGCTTTTTATTACCCACTCTGAAGGAATTCCTGCTCAGTGAAGCATCTTACTTTAGAAAGTAATAAAAAAATCCCATACAGATGTAAACCAAATTAAATAGCAACATGCATGGAAACACCAAATCTCCACAGCAGAAATTTGCATTGCAACAACAACAGCGGCATAAATAACTTTACCTGCCAGTGGTCATAGTTACGTTTTTTATGCTTTGCTTTAACCTCAAGAGTATTTTTCAAAGCTGCAAGCAGACTGAATAGAGCCATGCAAATAAAATCCAACATGTGCAGAGCGTCACGGAGACAGCCTCGCAACATAAACATGTCACCTGGTGATGACTTACTGCAATGTGCATGAATCGCCTTTAAACCACATCTCCCCGCCTGAGAGCAAACAGCACATTACTGTGGAGTGTAGGTGTAATGCATGGCTCTATAGATCCCGGTAATGTTGCTACGTCTATTCAGCATTCATTTATTTCCTGTTTGACCCCTATTTCTTCACTAAATCCCCCATACAGGTAAAACCTTTTTATAAAAAAGAAAAAAAAAATCTCATTACAGCTGAATATGTATTCTGAGCAACACTTCATTCTATGAAATCCAGGATATTTCATTTTTATTCTCCCTCAGGCCACTGAAATCCCAGCATCAAGTGATTGTGGGTGTGTGGTGTCAACCCGCAGTTGGACGTGCAGCAGAAGTCTCTGATCTTGCACAAACGTGAGACAAGCATAACTGTTCTCCCACAAAGCTTTATCACAGCTGGAGTTTTTTTATTCTTCCCTGTGCTGCAGCCTATCTCACTCAACGCCATCCTTTACTCTCAGAGAGGTACAGAGTGAGGCAATGGGCACCTGAAGCTCTCACAGGGGGAGGGCTATGCGGTGTCCTCCTTATGGTTCAATTCTCCGCCTGTCAACCGACGGATGACATAAAGCCCAACACACACACAGCAAAGACCTTCAGCAGTGCTATCAAAGGCGCTTGGCTGACTGTTTGCCCTTAAAAACATAATTATATGTGCTTTCATTTATCTTCTCACTGCATGGTTGGTTGGGTTTCTCATAATGCCACAAATGATTTTCCTGTTACTCCCTTAAGACTAGGTGTCTTTGTGCTTACGTCTTATTCTAATTTGGAGTAATGATGTTTAGCACGCCTAGAAAACATCAATCCAGCTTATTAAAGTTAACCTAAAGTTGATGTATTGCTGTTAAGCTCCTGGTTCACAAACAGACCACTGATGCGGATGTAAATGATGGATATTCAACCATAGTAATCAATAAAAAACAGCTTTGATTACGGTGAAAGCTGCAAGACTTTCTACTAATTTTGCAATTCAAAAATTTCCCTGTCTCCCATTTATCAGAAATGAAGCTCAGTCTGATTAGATAAAGGCCATTTGTGAGCATCAACTTATAAATATTGGAAAAAAGCCGCATTTCAGATCTGGCATTTAATTAAACAGTTTTAATATGAATAGCTTAAACTTCAATCTAAACTAGGACTGCAACTAACGATTATTTTGCATATCGATTAAGCTGATAAAATTAATAATCGGATATAATAAAATATAACATTTCTTTTACAAAATAAACCAGGTGAAATTAAAACGTTTCTATTTGAGATGTCCTGAACAGAGCACATTAATAATAATAATAATTGAACTATTTTGATCTCACATTGGAGAAATTTATCTCTGCATTTAACCCATCCCTTTGGGGACCAGTGGGCTGCCATTGTGCGGCACCTGGGGGAGCAGTGTGGGTTTAAGGGTCTTGCTCATGGACCCAGGGTGCAGGCTGTGGGGACCGAACCGGGTGCTTCCAACCTTCTTAGAGCACAAGCGCACTGCTCTAACCACTAGGCCAACACTCCCCTTAGACAAAAAACATTTTCATCATATAAAATTCAAAATGTTTATAAATATATTTTACAATTTTGCTGTAACCACTGCTCTAAGTGGGTTGCTCTGTCAGCTAAAGGCATTTTTTATAGTCTCTATACTCTAGTTAACGAATAATCACTAATTAAATAAGTTGACAATTATTTAAATTATCGATTATCATGATTAATCCAATTAATTGTTTCAGCCCTTATCTAAACATAAGGTTTTCAATGTAGGGGTTGTAACCCCCTACAGGATTATCAAAGTATTGCAGGGAGGTAAGGGTTTAAATAGTTCATTTTATCAGAAAAAAAAACAAAAATCGTTACAACTGCAAAATAATTTAAACAGGAAATAATGTGTTAATATGTTACCTTCACACATGTCTCAGATGTTTACATTAAGACTATATAACTGTTGATTTATTATTGATTATTTTGCTATATACTTTTAGATGAAATATTTTACTGTTAAAATTGGACATTAAAAGAAAACTCTCTTAACTCAAACGTGTCAAGCTCAGTTCAGTGCTTCATGAGGGCTGGTGTCCAGCACTTTTCAGATGTGCCTCTGCTTTAACACACCTGAATCAAAAGTTAGGTAAAGAGAAGGACTGCAGGGAAAGTTACTGAGGAGGTAAATTCAGCCATTCGATATAGGGGTATTGGACCAGGGCCATCTTTAAAAGTTGCAGGAAAATGCCCTTCAGGACTTGAGTTTGATGTCACTGAGCTCAAAGGCTCCAGAAGTTGGTTTTCCTACATTTCACAACAAAAAAATGAAAGTTTGCAGAACTTTCATCTGCTGAAATACCAAAAAACAAGTTAACAAGTATAAGTACTGGTAACTCACCTAATAATGTTAAAGATTAAAAAATACCTTGGTTGTCTGAATTGAATTATTTGATTATTCCTATATTTAACACATTGTTTTAAGTTAAAAAATAAGAATTCTCTTTGAGCTCAAAAGATGCATTTGTTATCTGAGAGTCCAACAAACCTGTGTCTAATGAGTGCCTCATTTGATGGCAGCTTGATGCTAAATAGATGATCAATCATTTGATTCATCCTTATTGGAACATAGATTCCCCCCAACAACCCTCTGGACAGACATGGTAAGGGAATGTTTGCTCCATCTCTCCAAAAATGTGGGGGTTAAGGATTAAATAAAATGTTAGATCTAAACAATCCCATTGTACCTCTGACTACTGGAAGGTAAACACCCTTCATTTGACCTCATCTGGGAATTTTACTTTGTTTTGTTGTCAAGTGTCTGAGTTTGTTTGCAGGCAAAGGTACTAATTGTGTGTGTTCTCTACATCATTACTTTGTTTCTGTCTGCTGCAGATCTAATGAAGGGAGAAGACTATTTTTACCTTTTAATCATATTAGGAAAATGTGCAATGAGCTTTGATTTGATTTATATATAATGTCTTTTGTCATTTAGCTTCTTTATTTTCACTGTTTTTAAACTGACAAAGTAAAACCTCACTTTGTTTTTAATGCACTTTTTTGCAGATAAAATCCTGCTATCATGAATTTGTTGCTCAATACATTTTATTTCTCCTCTTTTACAGATATCTTTTGGTGGGGCCCTTTTAGGGTGAAGAGCTTGATCTCAGATCCAATAGGGACTACATTTGATCTGCTTTTTTGGTATTTCTAGACTTTATATGATAAATGGTGACAGTTTTATTGCAACAAAATCTGACTTTCAGCCAAAGAATCTGGACCAGATGATCTATGGATTGTTGGCAAGAGTCAATGCATCTGCAAATGAAGTGGATGAGCAGTTTATGCAGCAGGAAAAGGGTTTGTCCTCTGTTGGAGTTTAAAAGCATCTTTTGCCTCAGAGTTTATAATGGTTCCTACTGAGAATACAAGTCAATTTTCATCAGCTGATTTCTGCCCAAACTGCAGCTCCTCCAGCCATTCAGAGGTGCACATAGCCAAGGCGGTGGTTTTAGGGCTTGTACTTGTTGTTTTTTTATTGTTTGGAGTTCTTGGAAACATCCTGGTGATCCTGTCTGTTCTGCTCCATCACCAGTGGCGATCTGTGACGCATTATTTTATCGCCAACCTGGCAGCTGCAGACCTCCTGCTCAGTTCGGCCGTCCTGCCTTTCTCTGCCACCTCAGAGGCTCTGGGCAGGTGGGTGTTTGGCCGTTCTTTCTGCAACGTGTGGGCGGCCCTGGATGTCCTCTGCTGCACTGCCTCAATTCTTAGCCTCTGTGTGATTTCCATCGACCGCTACCTGGCAGTGAGCTACCCTTTGCGCTACCCCGCCATAGCTACTGGCCGGCGAGGCCTGACAGCAGTGGCAGCTCTCTGGGGACTCTCAGCCGCTATATCTGTGGGGCCTTTGTTTGGTTGGAAGGAGCCTGACCCAGAAGATGAGACTGAGTGCCGAATCACACAAGAACCTGGATATGCTTTGTTCTCAGCATTAGGGTCTTTCTACATACCACTGGTTATCATCCTGGTCATGTACTGTCAAGTGTACACAGTAGCAAGAAGAGAAACCAAAACCATTAGGAAGAGCTCAAAAGGAGAGGGGGTGGAGATGGAAGGAGTGACATTGAGGATACACAGAGGAAATGCAGCTCAGGCAGGGAAACACGAGGGTGATGAGGAGACTAGGATGCACAAACGCTCCTCCTTTCCTTTGCCAAAGTTGCTGAGGTTCTCAGGGGAGGAAAAGGCAGCCAAGACTCTGAGCATCGTGGTCGGATGCTTCATCCTGTGCTGGCTCCCCTTCTTTCTGGTTTTACCAATAGGTAGGTTCAGCCGACATTTTTTTATATTTTTTCTTGCGATCCGAAAATTAACAATGCTATTAACAATGAGCTAGTCTGAATTATTGATGCTCCAGGTAGAAAAAAAGACACATTTACTGTGTAAGACAAGGGTATTTCCAAACACTTAAAAAAAAAAACACACACAAATGTATAAGAAAGTTACTTTTTTTGTATTTATTTTTTTTTTATTTTGTGCCTTTATGTAAAGTAATTATCCCAGATAGAGTAAAGATTCAGGTCTCTATAAAGAGGGATTTTCCGTTAACCCAACACATACGAATTAATTAACAAACGAAAACTTGCAGCTCTTCTGCATTATTTCATGTTCTTATTCCTTCTTGGAAATTTCATTCCCAATAACGTCCTGTAGCTGCTGGCTATAACAGAGATAACAGAGACCTGTAGCTACCTGCAGTGCTTTAGTGGTAAGGCTGTTTGCATAGAGGTACATATTTTTTCCATTGTTCATTCCTCCATTTTTAGATGGCTATTCAGCATGTTGTGAGAAGACTCTCCCCTTAATCCTTAGAAATAAGGTTTCCAGTACAACTTGTACAAAGGCATTAATAAAAAACAAACCCTTAAAGGAATAGTGAAGTAACAATAAAACAAACAAAAACAAAAATACTGGTGTAACCTTTTCAAAAGACAGTATATAATAGTAAATTGCTGTCGCTGTACAATTTGTTTACAGCTGCACCAAACTTGAGTGATTCAACCACAGGGAGCAATTAAGCTCTGCTTTTCCAAGCAAGTCTTAGCTTTGATGTCCCTGCCAAGAAAACAATGTATTATATCAGATGATTTATGCAGAAGAAAATGGATAAGTCACCAATCTCTTTGTTTGCCTCAGATGAATACTTGCGATTGAACACTACTGTTCAATACAGCTAATGTTGTTTTTTTTTCTAATCACAGAAAGACTTAGAGGAAATGGATTTTCCGTAGTGATTTTCAGAAGGAATTTCACTTCAAGTCTGTGAAAGCAGTTCCAAAAATGTTTACAGATATATATTACCGCGTTTTCATTGTGATTTTCTCTCTTCTTACTTTATAAGAAAACTGTCTGAGCTGCAGAAAACTGTTTAAAAAAATAAACATTTTGTCTTGGGAACAGCAGATATTTGCTTAGATAGTGCTGCACTCTTCATACTCTGAAGTTAGAGTTTCATTTGAAAATAAAAACAATGACCCTTAGACTATGAATATCACTTTGATGGACTGAGGTTCCAAAATAATCCCAAAAGCAATACATAAGAATGCTGAAAGCTGCAAAAGTAAGCTATTTGTTTCTCCATCTTTGGGTTTTTTCTCTTTTATAATTAAGGATACATATGGTTATGTCCAACCTCTGTAAACAACAATTCCTAACTGCTTAAAATGCTGACAAACAAAACTGAAAGAAATTAACACTTTTAGATGTTAATTTCAAAACCAGGCAAAAACAATATCATACACTTTTGACTGACTTATTCGGGGCCAGTTTTGCTCCAGTGTTGTGCCAAGCAGGAACATAAAATGCTGACACCGGCATCTTTAGCAGTCTGTATCACAGTATGGAATGGTTTCCCCTTCAGAAACCAGACCTAATGGTTTTCCCAAAGGTTGAATGAAAAGTATTCAGACTGCTTTTATTTATATGCAAGAGTCAAATAGCTGGTTAGCTGCAACAGTAAATCAGCAACGGCTACCTAATGCATTTACACATCAAGATTGAATGAATCCGTCTCAGCACAGGTTAAACTGATTATAAGAATATGGAAAGACTAAATTAACTATGAACATGGGATGATTGCTGGATGAAAACTACAATTTTCTGCCTCACAGAGAACGGTGCAGAGAGAGAACTTATTTAGCAAAAAACAGCATAAACACACCTTGAAAACACATCAGAATGGGCTGCAGAAACTAATCAAAGGAGGGGGGGGCATTCTCTGTTTTCAGGGGGGTACACTCTCTCTAAAAATGTTTTTGTTTGGGCTTAAAAAAAACTGCTCTCAACTACTCCTACAGTCTTTGGAGGATAAAATCTATCAATAAAACACCAAAATAAAAAAAAATCTGTTACAAATAACTTGGTTAATACTACGATGATTGCATTCACTAAAAAGGTGAAAATCAACCTAAAAACAAACATTGATAAACATGAACACTGATGTCAGGCTGAAGTAATAATTCTAGTAGAGCAAACTATTGAATCATCACCTGGGCAATGTCTGTCACACTTCAATCAGGAAAACAGTTCATGAGTATTGCATCAGAAACAGAGGTGGGTAGTAACTACTTACATATACCCAGTTTCATTTACTTGGGAAGTTTAAAGGAATAGTAATTTTTACTTTTATATGAGTAAAAATATGATAAAGTTTCTCTTACATGAGTAAAATTTTTGGCTGCTCCATACATTGTTTGTAACTTCACTTAATGAGAACAGGCTTGTTCTAAACAAATATGTACAATTAAGATCAATACTTTCTTCTTATAAGTACTCAATGCTTATTGGTTAAAGGTTATCGTCGATCTGTTGAATCTGCCAGTATACAACAAACAGTATATTGACATTTTAAATATTCTTACCTACTGATTTAGCAAAGTTTATAAATAAAAAAAAAACATATTTTTTTAAAGCAGTGTTCATTCCACCTATGTCTTTTATTGTGTAATCTCTGTTTGTTATATATTTTTTTTATCTTATTCTTTGAAACACCAGGATTTGTATTTTACTTAATATTTTGTTACATTTTATATAATTTTGTTCGTGATCATTAATAATAAGTAGATCAGTTACTTGATACTTGAGCAGCCTTTTTGCCAAATACTTTTTACTTTTACTT